ACTATTTTGTAGGGCTTGTCATTTTTAAGCTATATCGATTTGAAAAAAAAATCGACAAAAAACTTTGACCCTTATAAAATGTTAGGCGAGATAAATTTTGAAAAAAATAAGTACGCAAAGTTGCTTAAAATTGCTAAGTCTCCACACCCACAAAGTTTCATAAGGTTTTGAGAGGGTGCTGCCAACTCCGAAGACGAGTTGGCGTGAAATCCGTCTGCTGAAGCATCGCGCTAGCAAAGAGTTATAATCGCTCTCCAATACACGCAGTTCAGTTTTGTGCTGTTCGTCCCTCGAACGAAAATAACGTTTCCTGGCCTTGCGAAGACGATTGCGTAGATGCTGCAGCTCGTTGTTCCACCAAGGCTGTCTTCTCCCGAAAAAGCGGGATATCGATACTACATCCCGAACAATTGAGAACACTCGTTGATAAAAGTTGGAAACAGCTTCGTTGATGTTGCACCCATTAAGGCACCCATCTCAAGATTATTGATAGATCCCACTCATTGAAGCAAAACCACTTTACTCTTTTTTTAGAAAACTCCATACAGCATGCAAAAATGAGTGCGATTTACCCAGTCATTGAGTAGTCTTAAAATAGCATGTAGATTAATTGTGGTTGTTTTGAAAATCTTCTCTGTGAACGTACGAGTGAAATGAATAAATGTCTTCATTGTCCATCGACGAATACGTGCTTGTTGATATTCATCAACTCTTGAGTTTCCAACCCAAAATTGTCAAAATCTTAAACGATACTCAAAAGCAAAAAAAAATCAAATTCATTTTGCTATAAATTATTATTTTGAATATTATCGATTGCAGAGCCTTCGACCTCGATTTTACCATAAGTTCTGCAAAGGGCAATAATCTTCCATCGATCTGAGTGAAAAACTGTAGTTAAGTGTTCTGCCTTGGTTAGGTGTCTGTATCCGCTGATTTGCCGCAGATCCCGCCTCTCAAGGGTGAACAAACTGGCTGTCTACAAACAAATCGTAGCACCTGCGATCCTCTACGCAGCTCCGGTGTGGGAATCATGTGCACAGACTCACAGGAACAAAATTCAGGTCGCTCAGAATAGAGTGCTGAGGATGGTTCTTGATCGTCCTTTCGACACTAGAATAACAAATTTACATGAAGAGGCAGGCATTGCCAAAATAGATTCCAGAATTAACGAAATTAAGACTAAATTTGCACAAAAATGTAATTTATCAGAACATGCTTTGATAAGCAATTTGTATATAGTAGATTAGGTGTATATAGTAGTTGTAGGTTAGTTGTAGTTGTAAATAGTAGTTATAAGTAGTCTCCTTTTTCAAATTTTCAAACAAACCAATCCCACCAAGGTGGTCATTCTCTAAAACAGGCCTGATAGGACTAGGAACTGTAATTAATAATAATTGAAATTTCACAGAAACTAAAGTTGAAAAGACGCATCTGTGTCACTTGATAAGTTATACACACACTACGAAAAAGACATGTAAATTTCAGTGCCCTAAGACCGACACATGCAAGCGGCCCTTTTGACATAAGAATCAGTTGAAAAGGACGGGAAATTCAATTCAATCAAACGCACTTTTCTTCGAGCTGCATATGTTTCAGTTTCAGAACACTTAATTTTACATGCCATGTTTTTTTACATTCCATGATTTACGTCAAAGCTGAATTACGTCTCGTGTAAAAATAATAATTTGCAAGTGTGCATGTAAACCACACAAATTCAAGAAATATAGATCATTTAAATAAAAAAAAAAAGTAGAAGGGTCTGTGCCTAGGGGCACGAACGGAAGCTTGACGTAGGACCGCTAGTGGACGGAATAAATGTGAAGAGCATTAAGTTCTTTTAATTGATCAAATCAGGCATAACATTTGATAACGGCACAAAAGCATTTGTAAACAAACATTCTAAGGCCCTTTACACGCGAATGATGTTCTTGGTTTGCGTGGGCGTACTTTGGTTCGTGTGTAAAGGGCCTTAGAAGGTTTGTTTACAAATGCTTTTGTGCCATTATCAAATGTTATGCCTGAAATATTTATTATCTCAACTCTTTCCGTTTTTGAATTGTAGGCGATCCAAATTTGTAGTAATCTTTTTTCAAAAGGAAAGTTGATTACGAGAATCAATCCAAATCAATTGCACCCCTGCTTCCAAGTTTGTGTGGTCGTTGGGGGCTTGTGGTTCTGAATATGGACAAACAAGCACAGATAAATTCTATTACAACTCTTTACTGATGTAAGCTTGATGGCCCTGAAAAGAGCCGTTTTATTGAACAGGACATCCATGGCCACTTACGCTTGGTGTGTTTAGAGTAGGTGACAGCATCACGGACCTCATTTTCCACGTTCAGCACACCTCGTAGATCAGACCGGAGATAAACCACGCCGTCCGAAGCGAAAATGAGCTGATACCAGACAGCAGCGTTGCTTTATATTTTTTTAGGTTAAAGCAGAATAATGTGCAACCAAGTGGTATAAAAGCTACAAAGACTCCTCCCATTATGAGTAGTTTGCTATCAAGTAGCGACACTGGCTATTTTCTTTTTGCGTACACGGCGAATGAGAACGACCTAAATTTGAGTTTAGTTCACTCATAATCGCCAAAAGTGTAGGAACTCAGCGATGAGTAAATTTGTCTCATGATTTCGTGTGGAAAACCTAAAAAATCTGCCAGAAAATGAGGAAATTGACGAAAACTTTATTCAGTCTCGGAGTAGTACCAATAGACTGAGTGAATCCAATCTTTACTTTTCTCAAATTCGGGAATTTTTCCCTGGAAAATCCTGGAAAAACCTGGGAAAAAATAAGGCAAACTTACTCATCGCTGAGTTCCTGCACTTTATTTCTTATTTCTGAGATAACTAAACTCAAATTTAGGTCGTTCTCATTCGCCGTGATAGATATTGGCGTCTGTGGTTAGCGTGATTACCTCTCACCCCAGCAGGCCTGGGTCCAATCTCAGTCGGCGCCACCGGCATGTTCTAAGGCATAACATCTCTGGGAGCTGCCTCCCTGGCGTCGGTAGCATTAGAGCTCAGTACGGAAAACAAATCTCGCCTCACTTTTCAATAGGTCATATCTACATTGATCGATTCTCTTCATCGACACTCTCTTTCGTAAATATTCGGCTTCACAAATGTGGATCAACAATAGAAAAGAGCCCATCAGCATTTGTAAACAAACCGTTCCAAAGCCCTTTACTCACAAAGCGAAGGCCACCCACACAAACCAACACCATCATCGGATAGGGGAAACTCCTACCTACAAGATGTTGGTGTTGGTTTGTGTGAGCGGCTTTCGATTTGTGAGGCTTTGGAACGGTTTGTTTACAAATGCTGATGGGCCCTATTCTATTGTTGATCCAGAAATGTTTCCTGCCGTCTTCGTCGAATTAGATGCTAGATTGTTGCTTCTTCCATCGAAAATATCCGGCCGTGGCGATTCAAAGTTGATCAAGGTTGATCAAAATAATTTGTATCCCTGCTTCTAGTTTGATAACATGAGCATTTTGTGTGGTCGGTGGTTCTGAATATGGACAAACAGGCAGATGAATTCTATTCCTACTCTTTTCTGTAATAAGATTGGTGGCCCTGAAAAGAGCCGTTTTGTTTCCAATGTTGGTGATGATTTGCCTCCGAAACCAAACAGAGTGCGTCTCTGTCACTTCAAAAACGTAGATGACATCCATGGCCGCTTACGCTTGGCGTGTTTAGTGTAGGTGACAGCATCACGGATCTCATTTTTCAGGAACACCTTCAGCACACCTCGTAAATCAAACCGGAGATACGTCAGACACCGCCACGGCGAGCCAGACGACGGATGGTGGTTATCTCGAAGAATTTGCGTTTGGTTCTGAACATGGCTCCCTATTCGCACGCGCCCGAGGATCGGAGGCGAATGCCACTTCGACTTGTTTCGTCTACTTACTACTCTCTGATGACTGTGCTGGGGAAGCAGCATATGCATGTAGGTAATTGGTGGATTTGTTAGTTAATTCGACGCTTTTGGACAATGCTGAACATTTACCAGTTTTTCAATAGTTTCTTGTTGAAAATCAACATTCAGAAGCATTTTTATCAATGCGTAGCCATATTACTGATCGATTGGTGATAAAGTTATTGAAATTGGACCAGGGGCAGCTGAGTTATTAACGTTCAAAATCTTTCTTAATTTGTTACATGTTCCATTTTCGGTTTTCACAAAGTGTACCCCCATATAGAAATCAAAGACGTAGTCCTACGTCAAAAAAAAAAACAACATAACACGTTCCACAAGGGTATGTTTGTGTAAAACTAAAATAATCATTTCGCATTTGATACTCAAAATCATCCCCACCAAGATGATTATGAATATTGATATGACAACAGAACAGGCGATAATGAATACGCAACAATTGTTGACTTCGAAACTCAGCGGTTGCCTTGATTAAGAGCATATTATCATGTCAAAATTAAAATTCATGCAGGTAGTTGGTTTATCTTTCAAGGTTGCCTTCATTTTCAGCTTATTTGGGTGTAGAAGAAATGATTTTTATCAGCACTGATTAAGATTATGTGAATATTTTTACAAGCCTAAAATCGGGAAGCAGTGTATTAGATGTGTTGGTTTGGGGCGTAGGGTAAATTACGGCTTCGGCAATTCCTTTGGCGGTCCATTCTGTCCAAACGTTGCTCAAAGCCTTAATTTAACTCACCACCCATTCCTGACGGTAATAGGAACAGTTATTGCCTAAATGTACTTAAATAGGCAAACAATGCCTTCTCCAAAAACTTCCTTTCCAAAAGTTCCAGGCCAAACATAATCCACAAAGATAATTACAAATATTGCCATAATTGAGTTTTCATTAATTTGCTCGGTAATAAAAAGCACATCTGCCAGCAGGTCCCTATCTAGCGTCTTGTCCAACGATACACATATATGAACACAGGGCCCAGAAGCGGTAGCAGTCGCAAAAAAAAAGCACATAAACATCGCCTTAATAATCCTCTTTTCATCTCCGTTTATTTCAGACCGGACAACTTTCGCCAACTGAGAAAAACTTCCTCTTGCTACTACTACTGCTGCTGCTGTGGCTAGTGTAGAAGAGGCCATACCAAACACAGTGGCTCCCGATAGCCTCAGGCTAGACAGGGGAAAGAACTCTTGATCAGAGTCCGCCGTCAAGCAATAATTACTACCACAAGCCGGGTGAGTGCTGACTGAAGGAATCTTTTTTTTTTTCGGCAGCAGTCCACTGACCGCACTTTCAACGTCGAGAAAACGACGGATTTAAGGAAGCTACTTTTCCACATTACACAAGAGTAGCGGGAAAAGCAGTCACCATAATGAAGGGACGACATCTAAGGAGACGGTTCAGCCTGCAGCCATCGTTTATGAAGGACGACAGCCCGGACGACAGACCGAAGCGGGAAAAGTGAGTCCTTTTGCACTACAACTACTTTGCTCTGGTATGGCTTGGCATTGTTATCAATTTGATTCCAGGTTGCGAATGATGTTGGGTATTATAATGAGACTTTCCGTGAGCTTAAACCTACACGAATTCATTGCCTTTTCGCTCGACAAATGCCAGTCAGTGACACCCACTCGGGAGGAGACTGTTATCCTGAAACTCAAACTCAGTCAGCTATCGTCGCCAGTTGGCGTTGTTGAGCTTCCGATTCATGTTTAGAAAGGAAAGGAACAAAGTGGGAAATCATTGAGTCCCGTCGCAGTGAAAAAAAAGACTCCCCAGTTGTAACCGAGGAAAAATAGCTGCCTTAACCGCTTCTCCCCTGTCTCAGCTCAACGACGAGCTGACTTCATATCTCCCGACAATTCAATGAACAATGTACAGCAATATGGTGTGCTGGTTTTGAGTTAGTATCCCACGTTGTTCAATGCTTGGAGGGGCTCTTCTGCAACAATGAAAAACAACATCAACAGCAGAAGATTTCCTCCAACCAACCCCAAGAATGAGGGCGAACGACTAGAGAGAGTTCTTAACCAGCAGAAGGAAACCAAGTCTGTCAGATAAATGGAAGATGGGGCGAGGGGGCGAATCAAGACATTTTATCTGTTGTTGACTACCGGCGGTGAATCGTTTTTAAGCTCTCGTCATCCCTGCCCCGTTCCAACTCCGGTACTAAACTCAACCATAAGCGTGGTATTTTATTCGGTAGAGAATAAACTGCTCTCATGTACTAAAGGATAATGATGTACATACTGCAACGGTGGCAGGTAGCAATTGCGATTTCAAGCTCAGGCTCTTCACGATTCCGCTGTGACAATGCAGTGTATTGCGACAAGAGGGGGATTATTATTTTTTTTCGGAAAATTTTAGAAGTTTCGCTCTGTTTACGCGAGTTGCTCTTAGCAGTCGGCTTAAGCTGTATGACGAGGATTTACGACGCAATTTGATAAGAGTTCATATATCTGGATCAACAATACACAAGGGCCCATCAGCATTTTTAAGCAATTCGTTCTAAAGCCCTTTCCGCACACAACGAAGGCCACTCACACAAGCCAACTCTATTATCGGATAGGGAAAAGTTTCCCCTACCCGATGATGGTGTTGGTTTGCGTGGGCTGCTTTCGCTTTGTGAGGAAAGGGGTTTAGAACGGGTTGTTTACAAATGCTGATGATACATCTCCTTGAATTAGCTAAAGTTACGGCTGGGAGTGCTGATAGGTTTTCAGATTCAAGCTTTTATTACTTATTTAGCTGCCCATATGATGTATTTTAGGATAGCTCAGATGGCAAGGCAAGCGGCTGATGGTCGGAAGGTCATGGTTCAAATCCCATCCAACGACATGTGTGTATATGTAATAAATTTTCTAGGATATATGTGCATGCTTTGACAGAAGTAATTGACACAACAATCACTAACGAGAGAGAACAGCCCTGCTCTGTCCCGTTCTTATTTTCGGATTAATTGTCCCGTAGTTGAATAATCGTTTAATAAATGTATAATAGTGTCTAATTAAACATTATTTCACATGATAATCAAGCGTCTATATACACTTTTATACCATCGTTGTTTAAGGAAGTAATGATGTCTAATAAACGCTGAATAATCAAAAATTTGATCGAATAAGCTCTGTTACAACTTTTGTAAGTCGAATAAAAGCTTCTCTACATACCTTATTCAACACCAAATATTTCGATGTTGTGGTTGAATAAATTCTCCAGATTTGTGTGAACAAAGCCTGAACAGAAGTTGTTATTAAAAATATCAGAGGTATTATTAAGCATGAAGTGGAATAAAATCGTCCAGAAGTCGTTTCTTCAATAGGCAATTGTTTGTTGGGATGTCTATGTTGCACAAGAAAATAAAATTAAAATATAAACACTCATTATGTACACAACATAATGGTCAAATGACACTTCTAGGTGAATATGAATTATTTGAATACTGTTTCAAGCTTTTTATTATTATTATTATTTAGCTTTATTAAGGAGGCTTTCAGCCTTAGGCTGGTTCGCCTCCAAAACCGGAAAGCTTTTTATTGATTAGTATTGTATAATTTCAACAAAGTATTCTTCAACAAAGTATTAAAAATTATTCCGTTGTTGGCAACTGAAAACGAGAACCGTGCTGCCAAAAACGGAACAATACTGTATAACGAGCAACTTCTTTTAAGGTTCCAAGCCTCGGAAATGTTTCGTTTGAGAGATATTAGTTTGAATGTCTGGTTCACAATTTTAATTAATTGAAAAAAGTAAACTCGCTTCTCACGGTAACTACTACTGTTAACATGCATCCCTGAAGAATTCCCAGCTACTGGATGCTACCTCCTTTCAAATATACAACTCACATGTTTACGAGAATTTGATTAAGGCACCCAAAGCCCAAATCAAACTACACGAAACGAAAATCAATTATTTAATTCATGTGTTTCACTTATACATTTTTGCCAAAGCATCAGCCTTATACATTCCATAAGACAAACAACATAGGTCCTATTAGAATGCATAAAAGGTATGTGTGACCGCTTATACATTTCATTTGACACATGATCTTTATTAACTTTTTGCAAGGCGTCTGCTTATTAGTTGACTTATACATTTTATGAATAATCAGCAATGGAAATTTGCCAAAAGGTATAAGGAGATTTCTATCCGTGTACCGGAGAAGAAACATCAACAACAATAAGCGCACTAAGGAGGTTAGGCAGCACAATTTAAGTTGAAAACCAGCAACTTTTGAGAAATTGAATTTCCACCGGTACCAGCTTCTTCGAATAGAATGTGGTAAAGGCTGACTAAAAGTAAATTGGTACGCACAAAAAGACCGGCAATTCGTGATTCAACCTTCAACTCGAACCTTCGGTGCCCGCTCAGTGGAAACAGACACGAAATCAGCGCATTTCTTTCATTTCGTTCGCATTTGCTGGATGTCCTTGACTGCCCCATCGCTTTGTCGAAGTCGCTGCTTTGAAATTGCTCAGTAAAGGGTGATACGGTCAAAATTTGGTCAATATCAACTTGACGTATTTCTTTCAATTTTGCATTTAAAAAACCTGAACACCCCTCATTTTGAAGGTGTGAGTGTGTAGAATGTTGCTCCTATTTTGATTTTGGAATTCACTCTTCAGTTGTCAAAATGCCGTCCAAGCAAGAAGAGCAGCGTATCAAAATTTTGCTCGCGCATCGTGAAAATCCGAGCTACTCGCACGCAAAGTTGGCAAAATCGCTAAAAGTTGCCAAATCAACCGTTACAAATGTAATTAAAGTGTTTGGGGAACGTTTGTCGACAGCCAGGAAGTCTGGATCGGGGGGAAATCGAAAACCGGAAGCCGCTGAGACGACAAAGAGAGTTGCCGGTAGTTTCAAGCGAAACCCTAACCTCTCTCTCCGAGATGCCGCAAATAAGCTGGGTGTATCGTCTACAACCGTGCATCGAGCCAAAAAACGAGCCGGACTATCGACTTACAAGAAGGTAGTGACTCCAAATCGCGAAGATAAACAAAATACGACGGCCAAAGCGCGATCCCGGAGGCTGTACACGACGATGCTGACGAAGTTTGACTGCGTGGTAATGGACGACGAAACCTACGTCAAAGCCGACAACAAGCAGCTTCCGGGACAGGAGTTTTATACGGCAAAAGGAAGGGGAAAGGTAGCAGATGTTTTCAAGCACATGAAACTGTCAAAGTTCGCAAAGAAATATCTGGTTTGGCAAGCCATCTGTACCTGTGGCTTGAAAAGCAGCATTTTCATAGCTTCCGGGACTGTCAACCAAGAAATTTACGTGAAAGAGTGTTTGAATAAACGTCTGCTGCCTTTCCTGAAGAAACACGGTTGTTCCGTACTGTTTTGGCCGGATTTGGCATCTTGCCATTACGGTAAAAAGGCCATGGAGTGGTACACCGCCAACAACGTGCAGGTGGTTCCCAAGGACAAGAACCCTCCCAACACGCCAGAGCTCCGCCCAATTGAGAAATACTGGGCTATTGTCAAGCGGAACCTAAAGAAGACCAAAAAACTGCTAAGGGCGAGCAGCAGTTCAAGGCAAACTGGCTTTCTGCGGCGAAGAAGGTGGACAAGGTGGCTGTACAAAATCTGATGGCAGGGGTCAAGCGTAAGGCCCGGCAATTCGGATTTGGAAAAGCGGAAGCCTAACTGAATATTTTTCCTGAATTTTATACTAATTGAATTTGAAGAAGAAATTTAATTTGATTTTTTAAATAAACGATTTCACCGATTTACACGCGTTTTCCCTTGACCAAATTTTGACCGTATCACCCTTTATTTTTCGATTGGTCGTAATTCCGGCCAATCCGGAGGATTCTGTAGCTTGGGGACAAAATCGATTTTGTTGGCAGCATACCACTCCAGAAACACCTTGAAGTAATGGCAGCTGGCCAAATCGGACCAAAAGATGACTTTGCCCCTATGCTTGCGGCTGAACGACAATACACGCTTTTTCATGCATTCTTTGATGTAAACTTAGGATGTCATCGTGGAGGATGCGTTACGTTATCAGGCCACAACTGCAAATCGCTTGCCAAATCATAACCTTCTTCGTGAACTTGTCGGCAAACACGAACTTGAATCTTCCCGGCACATCCCCACGTCCAGTCGTGAGGTAAAACTTTTGACCGGGAAGCTGCTTAAAATCGAGTTTGACGTATGTCTCGTCATCGATCAAAGCGCAGCCTTTGTGTTTCGTCAAAACTCGGTCGTACAAGAGCCTTGCACGCTTTTGACCACGGAATTCTGCTTCATGTGCCGGTTCGGATGTTTACTGGCTTTGTACGACTTGTATCCTTACCAGGCAAGGATGTTCCGCACCGTTTGAAAGTTGACGTTGTACCTTCTGGCCACATCTTGGATCGAAAGACCGGGGTTGGCTTTAACGCACCTCAACACCTTGCTGCGCAGCTGATGATCCATGTTTCCAGTTTTTTCGTAGGTACGCTGATGCTTTTCGA